CCGGGACACCGGCGGGACACCGCGCGGCCCCGCGCCCCGGTGGAAAATCATTTGGTGCGGCCGCGCCTCAGCCACAGGAGACTTTCCTCTCGCCCGCCCACGCAGCTTCGCCTCGCCCGCACGCACGGCACGCACGAACACGAAACCGAAATCGATTTCCCGATAAGGGGCTTCTCCGTTCCACTTCGACCTCACCCCCCAACTTCCGATATCACCACCCTTCGGGTGATAAGGAGGTTGGGGGGGAAAGGGGGGTAACCAACATCTGATTCAATCGGTCTCACTATCGATCTCACTCAACGGGGCACCACGGGACACCACGGGACATTTGGCGATCTCAGTATCGATCTCACTCAACGGGACACGACGGGACACCACGGGACACCGCGGGACTTTTCTCGATCTCATTATCGGTCTCACTATCGATCTCACTATCGATCTCACTCAACTGGACACCATAGGTCACCACGGGACACTTCGGGACACCACATCGATCTGATGATCGATTTCATTAATTTCATTCAACGGGACACCACAGGACACCACGGGACACCTGCCGATTTCACTACTGATCTCATTATCGATCTCACTTTTTGGGACACCACTGGACACCTCGGGGCACCACATCCATTTCACTATCGATCTCACTACCAATCTCACTCAATGGGACACCACGGGACACCACGGGACACCACGGGACACCTGTCGATCTCATTATCGATCTCACTTTTTAGGACACCACGGGACACTTCGGAACAACACATCGATCCCACTATCGATCTCATTATCGATCTCAGTATCGATCTCACGATCGATCTCACTACCGATCTCATTCAACGGGACACCACGGGACACCACTGGACAGTGCGGGACACCGCGAGCCACCGCCGGACGGACGGACGGACGGGCGGGCGGGGAAGAATCATCAGTCTCGACTTCGCCCTAGCAACGTCGGACACCACGGGACACCACGGGACACAACGGGACAACGCAGGACACCGCGAGCCACCGCCGGACGGGCGGAAGGGGGATAATCATTAGTCTTGACTTTGCCCTAGCAACGGCGGTCACCACGGGACACCACGGGACACCACGGGACACCGCGGGACACCGCGAGCCACCGCCAGACGAATGGACGGACGGGGGAGCAACATTTGTTTTGATTTCGCTTTAGCAACGGCGGGTTCATTCCTGTCGCGCGCCCACGCAGCTTCGCCTTGCCCGCACGCACGACACGAACGAAACCAAAGGATTTCCCGATTGGGGGTCTGCGTTCCATTGCGATCTCACTCCCCCAACCTCGGATCATAATCGCTGCATCTTCTGCTTTACCTTCCTGCACTTCCGCCTGCGTGCAAAACTCCAAGGAGAAAGGTGAATGGCGCGAAGCGCCAATGTAGTCTTATATACATATGTATGCGAGGACCCCGGAGACATGTCAGAGCTACTAAGGGATCAGACGATGGGGTGGTATGGTGAACCACGGCAGGCAAGGATGAGGTGAGTGATGAGGAAGAGGAGGATGATAATGATGAGAGGAGGAGAAGGAGGAATAGGACGAGGAGGAGTAGGAGTAGGAGAATGAGGAGGAAAAGGAAGAACAGTAGGAACACCATACTCAGACTGATACGAAGATCTCGATGACGAGGACGACGAGGAGGGAGAAGCAAGGTTTTCACAGGAAGAGCAAGCGCCGCGCGACGGATTATGACGAGATTTGGGGTTCCAGCGGGGCGAGGAGGAGGAGTAGGAGGAGGAGGAGGAGGAGGAAGAGGAGCAGGAGGAACATGAGGAGGAGGAGGAGGAGGAGAAGGATGATGGGGAGGGGGATGATGATGATGATGATGATGATGATGATGATGATGATGTAATGTGATGTAATGGTGATGATGAGGGGGAAGAGGACTCATTGGCAGAGGGGGGCGGGGTTGGGGAAAAAACAATGACGATGGTGATGGAGGTTGGTGGTGATGAGGATGATGCAACGATTCATGCGGATGAGTAATAATATTGTGAATTTGATAACCGCGGGTGAAGCATGGGTCCGAGGCGAGACTTGGATATTGAGAAGCAGGCGCGGCATGAGGAAGAAAACGGTTGACGAGGAGGGTGAAACGCAATATAACCGCAGTTGTAGGAAACGGAGGAGATGCATGAGAAGGATGATGAGGAGGAGCAGTATGAGCCACAGCAGGAGGGGGCGGATGAGGGGAAGGTGGAGGAGCAGGAGGGGTTCGAGGAGGAGGAGGAGGAGGAACAGCAGGAGCAGCAGTGAGGGTGGACGAATTGAGGAGTTGCATGAGGTGTATAAGGACAAGGACGAGGATAACTGACCGAACGTTCAGGTCCACGAGCGAACGGGACGTCGCACAGACAGGGAAGAGGAGGAGGAGGAGGAGGAGGAGGAGGAGCAGGAGCAGGAGAAGGAGGATGTGGAGGATGCGGAGGAGTTGGGGCAGGATCAGTGTAAACCCAAGGCTCAGCAACGATGTTGCAATCCACCATCACTCAAATATTCCTCTTCATAGGCTCCCCAGACAGGCTTATCTTAACTGAGGGAAGATCCCCGCTGGAAGACAGCCGTCCGAAAATTCTGAATCGCGCCAAAGCAACATTCCTGGGACTCCAACGCCACGAACCAACGTCATTATTGCATCCTGACGATTCGGAGTCATGCCAGACAGCCGTTCCTGGGACTTCAGCACCGCGAATCAACATGATGCTGCGCCTTGACAGTCCTACACCGTGCCAGAGCACAACGTCTGGGACGTCAACCGTAAGAGTCCGTGAACCTGCTGCAAACTCTTAAGACGAACGTTCGCGGCGCTAAGGCGTGAGCAACACTTTGAACAAGGAGCAGCCCTCGATCAGTGACGCTCTTGGGACGTGTAAGACGAATGTGCGCGGCGCTAAGGCCAGAGCCATATTTTGGAAGCCGCCGTTGTCGATCAGTGTAACTCTTGCAAGTGCGAGTCGCTCAGGCAAAGAGCCACACTTTGAGAACGGCCCGTCCTCCATCCGTGAAGTTGTTGTAAGGGTGAAGCTTAATGATCACAAATGGTGGGGGGGGTCTCAGGCGACCCAGTCCGCCCTGCCGACCAGTCTCGGGGCGCGACTGGGATGAGTTGGTAGAGATGCGAAGCAACATATATATTTATATGTAGTTACGTTTGTTTGTTGATGCATACGTTTGTATATATATATGTATGTATGGAGAGTGGGGTATGCATTCAGATACACCCATACACCGATATGTGCATATGTACATGTTCATATGATTTAGATATAAGTGTGTATCAGTGTATGTATATGTATACACATAGAGCCAGGAAGAGAGACAGAGAGAGGAATCTATGTGCATATGTCTATATATATATATGCAGAAAGAGCGAGAGAGAGACGTACGCGCACATAGAGTGTGAGAGAGAGAGAGACAGAGAGAGAGAGAGAGATAGAGACAGAGAGAGGCAGAAAGAGACAGGAACAGAGAGAGAGAGAGAGAGGGAGACTCCTTCCTGGGAGGTTGGCGAGGGCGACTGCCTCTTCGATGCCGAGGCGGCTCGGCGCCCCTTGTCCCTCTGCTGCTGCTGCTGCTCCCGCCTCCCGCCTCAGCCGCGTTATCCTTCTCGTCCTCCGCCTCGCCCTCCGTTCCCCTGTTCGTCCTCACCGTCCTCGTTCTCCTCGTCCGCCAGCTCGTGCTGCACCTCCTGCGCCACTCCTCTCTCCCATGCCCCCCCGATCCCCCTCCTTCCCCTTCCTGCCCTCCTCCTCCTCATCCCTCCCCTCCAGCTCGTTTTTCTCCCGCATTCGCCGCGTCCTTCTCATCCTTTCCCCTCCTTTTTCTCTCTCCCACGCCCCTTCGCTCTTCCCCCCGTCTCCTCCCTCTCCCTCCCTCATTTCCCCCCCGCCCTTATTCCTTCCATCTTTCTCTATCCCCTTCCCCCCTCTCCCTCGCCCTTACTTCCGTTCTCTCTTAGCCATTCTCGCTCCTTTTCCTTTCTCCCAGTCTCGCATCATGCTATGCTGCTGCTGCTGCTGCTTCTCCTCCTCCTCCTCCTCCTCCTCCTCCTCGTTCGGATCCTCCTCCCCCCGCGTCTCGTTCCCCCAGCTCCCTCTGCATCCCCAGCTCACTCCGCCTTCCCCCCCCCCCTCTCTTCCTCCTCCCCTGCCCCTTCCCCGTGCACCCTTCCCCTCCCCTCTCCTCCCCCCTCGCTTCCTCCCTGTCCTGCTTCCTCCGCTTCCTCGCCCTCATCTCCTTCCTCCTCACTCTGGCTCAGGGCTTCCTCGCGGGGCGGCCCGCATGGGCACCTGGGCAGCGCCGGCGACGTCCGGGGCGCGCGCTCGCGCCGTGGGATGCGGCAGCGGCGGGCTCGGCGGGTGCCCTCGAGCGCAAGACCAACATTCCATTCTCTCGCACAGCGCATGGTTAATTCAAGCTTCGCGCGGCCCGCTGAGCTTCGACCGGAAGAGGTGCGCTCTCGACCCGCGAATAAAAAAAAGTGTCTGAAGCTCCTTCTCCTCCTCCTCCTCCTCCTCCTCCTCCTCCTCCTTCCCCCTCCCTTTTGTGCAAGAGCCGTGGCACGCGTGCCACTTGTTGGGCCCCGTCACGGCGTCTGGCCAGATAGGCTCCGCCATCGGCGACACGACGCTGTGGAGCTGCTCCTCCAGAGTGCCAGCGAAGTGGCCGGGTTTGGAGGAGGAGGTCGTGCCCGTTGGGCTTTTCTCAAGGGACGGGACGGCGGGTGGGACAGTAGCACCACGAGTTCGTCTTGGGATAACGTGGATGTCTGTCTGAAGGCAAGCAATGCCAACGGGGCTGATAGGCACGCAGATTTCTTGCAACGAGGCGGACGGCTTGGTGGTTTGGATTTGGACAAAAGAGTTCGTCAAGAGGCTCGACCCGAGCCACGTCATGGGGCTGGCCATCGGAAACGAGATGGAGCTGCTCCACGTGAGGACGGGCGTGGGACCCGGCAGTGACGGGCGAGTGCATCGCCGAGATGCGGCCCTGCGAGGAGCTCTTCAACCGCTTCTCCAAATTCGTATCCGAGTTCGACGGGATGGGTTTCCACCAGGAGCGCGGCAGCTCTTGCTGGGGCGATCTTGCCGAGAATTCTCGGTTCCAGGATGTGGGTGGCGCGGGCCCCGCCTCCTTCCCCGAGCCCTTCGTCTCTCTGCCGAGGGCCGCGGGCTCAGAGATCCAGGCCGTGCCCGATGATGTCCAGTGGAACTTTTCACGCTCGGAGCTGCACCGACTGATTTATTATGGTGTGGATGTGGTGGCCGCTTTCCGTGGGAACCGCGCGCGTAGTTTTCTTTTGGGCAGTGGTATTCAACAAACTTATTCCTTGTTGGGCATTTTTATTTGCGTTGGTGTTCGGCCCTCTCCCCCGATTTCTGAATAGGCTGATCCCGACTATCGGTACTCTCCCCTGTATGTGCATTGACGGCAGCTCTGGTTTCCAAGGATATTTTTCGTGATCTGCCAATGGTTGTCCGTCATCTTCTGCGTGCCGAAGCTGTTGCAGGTCTTGCTGAAGCTGTTGCGGGTCTGCTTCATATTCGGATCAGACGGTGCTTATCATCCCGAGCGCATTTTGGTGCGGCAGGGATCCACGCAGCTGTTCGGCGCCATGGGCTTTGGAGAAAGCGATTCCAGGTTGCACCTTCTGGTGCACTCCTTGGGACTATCCTTGGGGTTTCTGGAGATGAGCTTTCTTGGACGGGGCCATGGATTTTGTTGAGTACCAGGACTAGGCGCATTCGCGGGATGTGGCGTTCCCTGGGGCAACATATCCAGGCTTATGACGTCTTCGGTTCCTCCGTGTGGTCGTCTGTGGCACAGCCTAGAGCACCGTCAAGACAAACTTTTCAGATCGAGAGTAACATCGTCCAGTTTCTGATTGCTGGGCAGCGGCATGCGATTGCTACCACGATTTCACTTCTCGATGTCTGGTCACCAGTCTTCAGCCCGCTCCCTTGTCCCAGCTGTGCGTGCTGCTGCCTGCAAGATTGCTCCGAGATCCAGTGCCTTTTGCCCTGCGCGCTGCCTGCCCGAGGACCTTGACGAGGAGGCTGGGCTTCGCGTGACGAGCAGCATGGCAGTTGTGACGCATCGTAGTGGAATGCTCACTCATTTATTGCGTGGTCGTAATATCGGAACTGCTGTACCTTTTTTTCTGGCCGACCGATGGATGCCCGAACTTCAAGCTAAATGTATGAAACAATTATGTATTTCGTGTCGTTTCCTTCTCCTGCCTGGCCACCTGTTTTCGAAGATGCTCGTGACACGGGGTCGTGTTTCTTCCCAGGATGTTCATCCGAGTACTTCTCGTCGTAATGATGTTAAGCGTCGCGTCTTCCTGAGTCGTGTGCAACCGCCAATTTCGAAACGCTCTGCAATACTTCGGATACGTTTGCCAGATGCCGGTCTGAAGCCCGAGCTAGTCGATCATGTGGTCTCTGTCAGCATGAGAAATTTCGGAATGATCTTGCTTGTCCCATTGTTCATCAAGTCGTGAGTTGTTTCTTACCCCGTCTTCCTGATCCTGGCCAGATTCGTCTGCCTGATCCCGTTAGCGCTCCTCTTCTCTGCTTTTCTCGTGCCACTCGTCCTCCTTTCGACTAGTCTCGCTCTTGTATTATCGCACTTGATCTCATTCTTCACCACCCACCAAACCACCCCAACCCAACCCGAAGGCTCAGATTTACCCTCGATTTCCAGGGGGGGGGGTCGGGAAACATCGAACAAAACATGTGGAACCCTTGCCCCCCCCCCCCCCCCAACCCGAAATTCGGGTCTTCGGGTTGGGTTGGGGTGGTCTGGTAGGTAGTCAATCCCCAGCAGTTCCAATACCCCTCGTGCTACAAGATGTGTCCTCCGCCGCCTCGTTCGCCTCCCGCGCGAAAGCGAGGGCCAGGGGCAGCGCAGGCAGGCCCAGGGCCGGCTGCCCCAATTGCAGGGAGCCTGACCCTTCGCCGCAGGCGCGCCCCCGCCCCCCTCTCCTCCTCCTCCTCCTCCTCCTCCTCTTCCTCCTCCTCCTCCTCCTCCTCCTCCTCCTCCTCCTCCGCCTCCTTATTTTTCTCCTCCTCCTCCTCCACCTCCTCCTCCTCCTTCTCCTCCTCCTCCTCCTCCCTTTTTTCCTCTCTTCCTCCTCCTCCCCCTCCTCCTCCTCGTCCTCCTCCTCCTCCTCCTCTCCTCCTCCTCCTCCTCCTCCTCCTCCTCCTCCTCCTCCTCCTCCCTTCTTCCCTCTCTCCTCCTCCTCCTCTCCTCCTTCTCCTCCTCCTCCTTATCCTCTCCTCCTCCTCCTCCTCCTCCTCCTCCTCCTCCTCCTCCTCCTCCTCCTCCTCCTCCTCCTCCTCTCTCCTCCCTCCCTCTCCTCCCTCCCTCTCTCCCTCCCTCCCTCTCTCCCTCCCTCCCTCCCTCCCTCCCTCCCTCCCCCCCCCCCCCCGCTCCTCGTTCTGGTTCGGCCCCCCTCCCCTCCCCGTTTTCTTCTTCCTCCCCCTCTCCTTCCGCGCGCTGGCCCTGGCCCCGGAAGCGCGTTGCGCCGGCGCCCTCCCCCTCGAGGTGAGGATGCCGGAGGCCAGGCTCGTCGTCTCCTGGCAGGCGGGTCCGCTGGGGGGACGCCCGTGCGCGGCGAGTGCCGAGCGCTGCGGCGACAGGGTGCGCCTCCTCCTCCTCCTCCTCCTCCTCCTCCTCCTCCTCCTCCTCCTTCTCCTCCTCCTCCTCCTCCTCCTCCTCCTCCGTCAGTCAGCCTTTACATTTTGGCACTTGGGCCCCCCCCAGCAGTGCACCAAGGGTGACGGTTCGACCCGTGCTGTAGTGGCACTCATGCGGTCGTGTCCCCCTCCCGGCCCACCTAGGCTGACGGTTCGACCCGTGCTGTAGTGGCACTCATGCGGTCGTGCCCACTCCCCGCCAACCAATGGAGAAGACCTGCTTCCAGGATCCCTTGGGGCCACAAATCTACGTTTTACTTCAGTCTCTGTCCCCCCTCCCCTCTCTTCCCCGTCCCCGCTCTGTCAGGCCTTTCCCGTTCGTCTCCCACCTCCTCCTCCCCGTTCGTCTTCAACCTCCTCCTCCCCGTTTCCCGAGGCGGGGACGCAGGCCGTGGGAACCCGCACCGGTGACCTCAGTAGGCTTCCGGAGGCCGCGGACAGGTCACCGAGGCCGGGGACCTCCTCAAGGTCACCGAGGTCCGCCGGGTGACGGCTACTTATGAAAATTCTATGTAACTTCTGTGCCCCCCGCCCCCTCCCACCTGCATCGGGAATTCAAGGGGGTGCGCCGATCGGTCGAGTTGGTGGTTGGATGAAACACAAACCGATTCTGCCTAGGGCGCCGATTGATGTCCCCAGAGAGGCTGCAGGGGACATGCTTTTCGGTGTACCGGTCCTTCCGTGCATTTCGGTTGCGGCTTATTCGGGAGCCGAATGTCGTGTCAATTTCGTTGCGTCGGGCTCCTCTATTCGTTGCGTCGGGCTCCTTTGGGTTAGCCACCAACGGATGCTGAAACGCAACGCCGGGGGACCGACAGGAAACTGGTCCGTCGGCGTAGTGAAAAGTTAGTACTGGAGGTTCCTGGGGGCGTGGCGTATACACAGTCTCGGAGTCGAAACTGCGCATGCTGGTTTGTGGGCCCCCATTTGCAGGAATCCCGCCTCAGGAGTGAGAGGCATCGCGGGCGGCAGTCCAGCCGGGTGACGTCTACTTATGTAAAGTCTATGTAACTTCTGTGCCCCCCGCCCCTCCCACCTGCATCGGGAGTTCATGGTTGTGCGCCGATCGGTCGAGTTGGTGGTTGGATAAAACACAACCCTTTCTGCCTAGGGCGCCGATTGATGTCCCCGGTGAGGCTCCCGGGGACATGCTTTTCGGTGTGCCGGTCCTTCCGTGCTTTTTGGTTGCGGCTTATTCGGGGGCCGAATTTCGTGACAATCTCGTTGCGTCGGGCTCCTCTGGGTTAGCCACCAACGGATGCTGAAACGCAACGCCGGGGGACCGACAGGAAACTGGTCCGTCGGCGCAGTGAAAAGTTAGTCCTGGAGGTTCCTGGGGGCGTGGCGTATACGCAGTCTCGGTGTAGAAACTGTGTATGCTGGTTTGTGGGCCCCCATTTGCAGGAATCCCGCCTCAGGAGTACGAGGCATCGCGGGCGGCATCGACACTCGGAGTGGCCCCCCTCCCTTTCGCCCCTCGGCGAGGACCGCCATTAGGCCTCGTCGGTGAGGACCGTCATTAGGCCTCACACCCCTCGCAGCTTCCATCATTGGGGTTGCGAGGGTTCCCGCTCCCACCAGTCAACCTTCCATTTTGCCGTCGATAGGCACCGGACGGGGCCGAGGACCCCCATACGGTCCCTCGGCCAACGAAGACGGCCGTAGGGGGGGGTGACCCGTACCTCCATCTCAAGGCATTCGCGCCACCATCTACCATTCCAGGCACCAATTGCCACCCACCGCATCTATCCTCCTCCCCTCGCGCCCACCTGGGCTCCAAGGATGCTGCGGCGGCAGGGTCCTCGGCAGCATCGGGGGCGGCAGCACACAGCAGCGCCCGCAGGGGCGGGGGCGGGGCCCGGGAGGGTGGAGGAGGGAGGGAACGTGCACGAGGGGTGATGGTGACTAGCTAAGGGGGGGGGATCTCATGGATGGGGGCCATGGAGTTTCCCTCCCCAAGTTTCATGGCGCTTGTGCTTATTTCAGCGCGTCCCAGGCCCCCCACCCCCCTGGGCCGCGCACGTGCCGCCGGCCGCCCCCCCCCCCCCCCTTGGACGCCCCCTTCTTGGCCGCCCCTGAAGAAGGGGGGGATCGGAAACTTTGAGGCAGGAGGGCAATGCAAACGGGGGTTCGCCAGAACGCAGCAGTTTGCAGGATCCTCCGGGCTAGCGCGCAACATCCTGCAGCATCTTGCAGAATTATGCAAGGCCTGACTGACCTGGGTTTGCACTGAAGCGGGTCAGTGCGTCCCCGAGGAAGGGGGAGAGGAGTATGGTAAGGTAAGACCCCGCCAAGTCAGCTCCTGGTGAACACATCGAGCACGAAACGGCTGGCTTGGGGGATGCGACTCTCCTGATCGCCCTGTCACGGCCTGGCGGCCCTGGGGCCCCTCTTACGAATGAGCGCGCCGCACGAAGGGAGGAGACGCTTTGGGGCCCGTAGCGAGGCGTCTCCCTCTGGGAGTGAGGGGGGAGGAGTAAGAGGAGGAGAAAGAGGAGGAGGAGGAGGAGGAGGAGGAGGAGGAGGAGGAGGAGGAGGAGGAGGAGGAGGAGGGAAGGAGGAGGAGGAGGAGGAGGAGGAGGGAGGAGGAGGAATAATACTGGCATGAGGGTGCGCAGCTGCAGGAGAGGGGAACGGAAGAGGTGGTGGAGGAGGAGGAGGAGGAGGATCATGTTGATGATGATGG